CTCAAGAGAATGGAAATCAACCAAAAAGGCCACTTTCTGAAATGGAAACGATGAGTATTGATACCCGGAATTATCTAAGCTTATGGTACTTATCAATTCTTTCTTTTGAATGTGGTTGGAGTGTAAAATGAATTCTATTGTTTTCTATATGGATAACCAATGGTCACAGTAATTTTCTAAATGAAATAGCCCATCTTTTCCATCTGATCTAATAAATCTACCCTGGCATAAATAAATTTTGCTGATATGTGTAAGTCTGTTTTTCTAATCATTTGCTTGTGCTACTGGCCTATTTGTCTATCTCTGAGATTATGCCATGTAATTAGTATTCTTAATTGGTATTGATTTGAAATAAGTCCTCAGATCTACTATGTGAAAGCACCTTGATGCTTTCCTTGACATTCATTCTTCCTCAAGATATTTTTGATTCACTGTGTTCCATTATGCCCCAAAATGCTGGTGGAGTTTTGGTTTGGATTAAAATGCATTTGTGGAAAACCTAAACCTTCACCATATTTGTTTTTTCTATTGAGAGTAAAATATTCCTCTACATTTATTTTTAGGCCTTTTGTTACATCTTTCAATAAACATTCATAATTTTCTATATAAAAGGCTCACAATGGTAGTGTTATTCTTTGCTCTTATATTTTTGTGTCTATGTTAAGTGCTACTCTTTTAAAGACTGCACACTGCATATGTATATATTGTCTATTTTGATTTATTACAAAGATAGCTGTGCACTTCCAGTGTTCTGCATTAAGATGTAAACTGCACACAAGTCATCACTCTCCAAAACGAATGCTTCTTCAATTTATCAGATACTTGAAGCCACAAAGCAAACTGGAGAAAGGAGTAAATGCATAAAATGGGAAATTTCCAATTGCAATAGCCCCGCAAACCAGGAAATGGGCAGAACACTTGACTAGAAGCCTGGAGGAGCTTGAGAATTCAAAACACCCAGGGACAAAGTATAGGGCCTCCTCTACACACTCATGAGCTTTGCCTCTAGAGGCCCCATTAGGTTCGCAGTGAAGACCCTTCTAGTAAAGGGAGGAGGATGTCCAGGCTCTTCAAATACACACAGGGTACTGGGATGAATCTCCATAATGAAGCCTGCCTTCAAAGAAAATAATTTTTTTCAGAGTCTTATCTGATCTAGATGAAAGGCAATTAAACCAGGCAGCCACCTCTATCCTTTCTGTCCCACCAAAAGGAAGAGGGAAGGGGGCAAAGAGAGAACTTTTCTGAAGGTCAAAGCCCAGAGAGTCAGGCTCACTAGAAAGAGATTTAATCATAAGATTACAGATTGCTTCTGAGAATTACAGAACCCTAAAGAAAGAACCAAAGAAGACCTTAGAAGATGGAAAGATCTACCTTGCTCTTGGATAGGCAGAATTAATATTATCAAAATGACCATACTACCAAAAGCACTACACAGATTTAATGCAATTCCAATCAAAATTCCAATGACATTCCTGATAGAAATAGAAAAAGCAATCATGAAATTCATCTGGGAAAATAAGAGACCCAGAATAGCAGGAAGAGTGAAGCAGGTGACATCACTATACCAGACCTTAAACTATATTACAGAGCAATAGTAACAAAAAGAGCATGGTATTGGCACCAAAACAGACTGGTAGACCAATGGTACAGAATAGAGGACACAGAGACTAACCCACAAAACTACAATTATCTTATATTAGACAAAGGTGTCAATACCATGCATTGGAGAAAAGATAGTCTCTTCAACAAATGGTGCTGGGAAAACTGGAAATCCATATGCAACAAAATGAAATTAAACTCCTATCTCTCACCATGCTCAAAACTCAACTCAAAATGGAACAAGGATTTAGGAATATAACAAGAGACCTTGAATCTTAATAGAAGAAAAAGTAGGCCCTAATCTTCATCATGTGGGATTTGGCCCCATCTTCCTTAATAAGACTCCTTTGGTGCAAGAATTAAAATCAAGAATCAATAAATGGGATGGACTCAAACTAAAATATTTCTTCTCAGCAAAAGAAACAATCTTGTGAGGTGAATAGAGAGCCTACATCTTGGGAGCAAATCTTTACCCCTCACACATCAGATAGAGCACTAATCACTAGGGAATATAAAGAACTCAAAAAAATAGACACTAAAAAAACAAATAACCCAATCAATAAATGGGCCAAGGACCTGAAGAGGCACTTCTCAGAGGATGATGTACAATCAATCAACAAATACATGAAAAAATGTTCATCATCATTAGCAATTAGAGAAATGCAAATCAAAATCACTCTAAGATTTCATCTCACTCCAGTCAGAATGGCAGCTATTATGAAACAAACAACAATAAGTGTTGGCGAAAATATGGGGAAAAAAGGTACACTCATACACTGCTGGTGGGACTGAAAATTGATACAACCAATATCGAAAGCAGGATGGAGATTTCTTGGAAAACTGGGAATGGAACCACCATTTGACCCAACTGTCCCTCTCCTTGGTCTATACCCAAAGGACTTAAAAACAACATACTACAGGGACACAGCCACATCAATGTTTGTAGCAGCACAGTTCACAATAGCTAAATTATGGAACCAATTGGATGCCCTTCAATAGATGAATGGATAAAAAAATGTGGCATATATACACAATGGAATATTACTCAGCAATAAAAGACAATAAAATTATGGCATTTGCAGGTAAATGGAATTAGAGAAGATAATACTAAGTGAAGTTAGCCAATCCAAAAAATCAAATGCTGAATGTTTTCTTTGATATAAGGAGGCTGATTCATAGTGGAATATTGAGTGGGAACATGGGAGGAATAGATGAACTCTAGATATGGCAGAGGGTTTGGAAGGGAAGGGAGGGGGCATGGGGTAATTAATGATGGTGGAGTGTGATGATCATTACTATGCAAAGTACATGTATGAAGACACGAATTGGTGTGAATATACTATGTATACAACCAGAGATATGAAAAATTGTGCTCTATGTATGTAATAAGAATTATAATACATTCTGCTATCATACATAAATAAAAATTTCATAAAAAAGAAAAAAATTAGTAGAGAGATTAAAAATAGAAAGACAAAAAGAGAATATCAAAGGAAATTCAGCTACAGAAATATTAAAAAGAGCCTAGCTCCTACACAGAAAACATAAAACATCACATAAAAGATTATTTACCCTGTTTCTGTTGTTGAATACATTATACAAAACTTTCAACAAAAAACCATAAGCTTGCTAAAAGGCAAATGAAAATATAATCTCAAGAGAGAAAATATGCCTCAGAATAAGACTAAACTATAGCAGAAATTTTAGAATTATCGAATAATGTATTGAAAATAACTGATCAATATGATAAAGGATTCTAATGGCAGAAATAGGCAACATAAAGAAAACACATAGGTAATTTAAGTAAGGTCAGATACTCTAAGAATCAAAAGAAAATGCTAGATATAAAATAACATGTGCTCTCAACAAATAAAGAATTATTTTCATGGGCTGGGCTTATTAGACTGAACATGGCCAAGAAAATAATCAGTTGAGCTTAAAGATATATGTCAATGGAAACTCCCTAATAGAAAAGCAAAGACAAAATAATTAAAAACAGACCAGAATATCTAAGAACTGTGAGATATAAGGCATATAATTAAAATACCAGGAGAGGAAAGAAAAGAACAGAAGTAATTCATTACTGAGACTGTTCTAAAATTAATGACAGAGACCAAATCATAGATTCCTGAAACTCAGAACATGAAAAGGGATAAGTATTTTAAAACAGGATAATCATTAAAAAGTCTTAATAATACTTTCTTAATGTTTTATGGAAGTTCAGATTACAGAGATGGTAGAACAAGTTTGTGAATTAAAAAAATCCTATAAACAAATTTAAATAATGGTAATACCAACTTTATGGGCTTGACCCAAAGCGTTTTGTCTTTGATTTGTCTTACCTGCAATACTTTCAACAATTTGCATAAAATGATAATTCAGGGTTACGCTATTTGGGAAGACAGCATAGAAAATAAAGTAACATAAAAAGTGTTCCCAAAATAACCAAAGTAAATTCAAATGGCACATTCCAATTATACAGACAAAATGTATACTGAATTTTAAATTTTATGTTTTAAGCACATGCATATGAGGAGTTTTTTACACAAAGAATTTAACTGTAAAGTTCTCTAACCATGTAATTTGATAGTGATGTTTCTTTACATTTCCTCTCCATTTTTCCTGCCCAATGCTTTAACAAATCCTTTCTCTTTGTGCAGGTCTTGGCTAAAAGTCATTGTAGTAAGAGACCTCCCTGGTTTTCAAAGATGAATTGGATGACCCTGGTTTTCATTTCCTTTGCATCCAGTCCATACTTTTCATAAAGGTATCACATTCACATAATTATGCATGTGAAATTATAATTTCATATGACTATAAATTCCTGAAGACAAATAGGGTTCTCATGTTTTGCTATATCCCCAGGGCCTAGCACTGTTCTTTGTTCATACTGAAACTCAATAAGCAGTTGTTCAATGAACAGGTGAACAAAGATGAAGTTCTCCACTAGCAGCAACGGTCACTCTTAGTTGGAAGGCACTTTACATCATTGAAAACAATGCAAAAGCAAGATCCCCTAGAGCCTTTACCAAAAGGATAAAAAGCAAAATGGTTAAATTGATTCTAAAAGATTATTAATAGATCCAGAGACATTGTGCTTAAATAGTAATTACTTAAATATTTCATTACTTTTTAGATTATGTGTTCATCAGATATTGTAATATTTCTGAAAGTCCCTCAGACTATTGGCATTCATTCAAAGCCTAAAAAATGGTATGCTAAAGACTGCAAATGTTTCCAAGAAGGTCCATTCCATTCCCCAAATGGGCAATCTCTTCTCAATTGCAGTTTTAAATTCCTAATTATAACATCATATCACTATTCATTAACACGTAGTTCATGTTCAGAAAATATCAAACAAAATATAAGAAAAGAAAATTCATCTTCAATTCTCATACCTGTAAGTGATGTGTTTGTGCTGCCACTTCTGTCCTGTTAATGCATATCGCTTTCGACGAATGTTAAATTTGGAGCTACCTCTTGTCTGGTCAGGTACACCACATCTAGGCTTCTTCATCCAGCTGCAAAAAGCATGGTATTTTGGTTACTTACTAGCAATCATGATTATAAATTTCAAAAGGAAATTGATTAAGAAGTTAATGTGAGATGGTGGTAATGAAAATGCAAACCATAAACTAAAGGATTTAAACTAAAGTATCCTTGCAATTGGAATCAATGTAACACATATTTTTTGGGAAAGATCAAAAATCACTAATTTACTATTCATATCTTTTAGATAATTTTCCTCTCTCTAATTCACTTTGAGCTAACTGTAGAATGAAGTAGAACCTGCTATTAAAATTTGTGTAATATTGGCCACCAATCATTAGTCCATTGTGTCACTCTTAATATAATACTAAAGTATCCCCCAATTTTAATATCAATAATTTTTTAAATCTATTACATGATTTTAAAATTCCAGGAAATAATAGGTATATGTTCGTCTATTCTAACTTAAATAGCAATGAATTTTTTTTGTTCAAATAACATTTGCATTTCTCCAATTTTTCTTATTCACTTTTGATCGTTGTTCTAATTTCCCAATGGCAGCCATTTACTCTGAATCTTTAATAACAAATTCAATTCTTAAAAATATTTTTCAAATATGAGGGTTAACATCACAAGAACAAGGTTGAACATTTATATTTGAACATTAAATGCTGCTTTCAATTTGTTACTTTGAATACTTATTAAGAAATTGTAATTTAGCTTCTTTTCTATAGTCTTATTTGACTATTGAAATGTTTTCTATCTATTCTCAAGTCCTGTTTAAGGAGAAAGATTTTCACAGCTTTGAGTAGTTTTCCTTTAGTGGCTTACAAAATGGTTTTCCTGTTCATTGACCCCTTTAATAACTACAAAGCCAATGCTGAATATTTATGGTAATATATGATTCACAAAGTAGAAATGAATCAGTTTTGGCTATATTTTGTAAGGTGCTTAACAATTTCTATACTTTTTACAGAAATTACTATATAAAGGTGCTCATTTTGTAAAAATGAATCAGTTTATTTGCTACTTGTATAAATCAGTTAACTTGCTTTTACAAACATAAGAATAACTTCAATGTACCAATGCAATAATGACTTGTACTTCTTAAGAAACTTGATACTTTTTTTCTGCGTTTTTATTCTGACTCCAGTAACATACAAATTGTAGTCATAGGATTTAAGAAATGCCATCCAAATTTAAATGGATTATAGTTACTTTGCAAAATCACTCTCTCTCAATCAAATGAGATGTCTTACAAATGGTAACTCTTGGGAGGCCATCCTGTTCTATGGTATTGAACTCTCTGGAGGTGAGAATGGATACCTTTTATTTTTACTAACTGTCTAGGATATTCCCAAACCCACTGAGTTGGAGAGATATTTCACTTGGCTGGAAAACATTTAAGGCAGAGGATCTACACATTCCCAGTATCTTGTGCAATGCCTAGCATATATGAGATATTCAGTGAATATTCAATGCATAGATGAATAGGGACATTGTGATTTTTAAATTAAAAATGGTCATTTTTAATGCATTTTTAAGATCTAAATACAGATTTAATTAACAAATATTAAGCATTAATGATGTATCTATAATGATTTAAGTTACTCTTATATATGACTATTTCACCAATTATATTCTCAAAAAGTATATAATTTTCTTAAGATAGGTACTTATACTTATTTATCTAACTGAAAGTACTAGGAAATAAATGAGATATAATTATAAAAGATGAATACATTTACTTAATGTGGGATATGGTGACAGCTAAGGATAATATTTAAATAAGTGCCTGGGAAGAGAAATAATTTTGAATAAAATTGACAAAATAAAATTAACTTTACCAAGATAAAGAACACTTTCAAATAGGGTATATTTTTTAAAATTACTTTAATATACATAATATTAAAAATGAAGACAATGATTTAAAATTTTATAATTTAAACTTTCATTTAAATTTATGCATATGATAGCGACTTTAGTTTTCTCAGTGAAGTATGAACATCTTCCAGAGGACAGAATTTTTAGGACTAAATACTGAATTCCTATGCTAAAATATATCTCTGTTGAATTCCTAATGTATTTCTTAGGAATGTGCCCATAAAACTTTTATGTTCCTGTGTTCTATTTCTTCATCCATTTACTTATTTCATCCTGCTTCATATTTTTGAGTTTTTACAACTTACTAAGATATGTGGAAGATGAAAGAATGGATAAAAAGATGAACAAGGCAGGACTCCTTTCCTTGCTAAGATCCTAATTTATAGAGAAGATGCATGACAAGAAATTAAAATAGTCAGCCCAACATATCTGTGGGTTCTATAACTGCAAATTCAATAACTTCATTATTGAAAGTATTTGAAAAAACTTGCGATTTTTTTTGCCATTATTCCATTTCTTTATTATTTCATAAAAAATAGTATAACAACTACTCACATTGTACACACATTGTATTAGGTATTATAAGTAATCTATGGATTATTTAAAGTATACAAGAAGATATGTGTAGGTTATGTGCAGAGGACTTGAGTATCTGCAGATTTTGGTATCTGCAGGGGTTCTAGAAGCAACTCCCCCAATGGATTCTAACCGTGAGCTGGAATAAGTGCTCTTACATCTCCAGGTAGATTTCCTGATTGTGAATAGGAAATATTACACATAATGAAAAGAAAAATCATAATCTTTTCCCCCAAACTTGAACCAATGTCATGTGAACCAATCAATGTCATCTGAGCATCTCTAATGCCCATGCCAGATATTGAGGTATCATCCTCCACTATGCTCTCCTCACACACATTCAATCATAATGTTGTCTATTCTGCCTTCAAGTATCTCTTGAATCTCTCACTCTCATCACTGCCTTCCTTCTCACTGCTAGTGACATCTGTCTTCTTGCCTTTGTTTTCTGTGACCTCTATTTGGAATAACTTTTTTCTCCTTACTAACCCTAAGAACCCAAGCCACTCTTCATATTCATCTCACACAGGGACAGTTCACTATCCCAACACCACAGATACTGCACTATGCATTCTGATTCAAATTTATCTGACTCTATCTTCAACTGACATGTGAATGAAGGGAAGGAACCCAGCATGAGGACAGTGCTCAGTGAAATCTCCCATAAGCAACAGGAAGTAAATAAACTAAGTCTACATGTTTTTTTTGAAGATATTGATCTCCCCAAAATCCTGCATGTTTCTTGAAAAACATTATAACCCTTTCCAGATCTGTATCTTCAAAAAATTCTTACTACATGGACATAACATGAACACTTTCACACAAGTCATCTACTTCAAGATTTAGCTTTAAGTGCTAAAAATAAACAAAATATTATGAAAAAATAAATACAACAGTAGGCATAATCCAACATCAAGTAACAATGCAAAGAACTTTTTAAAAAAATGTTTTTAGATATACATGGACACAATATCTTTATTTTGTTATTTATTTATTTATTTTTAAGCTATTTTAAAAAAATATTTTGTTTATTTAGTTGTAGTTGGACTCAATATATTTGAACTCAAGTGCTAGAAAAGCGCTCTGCCACTGAGCCACAACACCAGCTCGTAACAATGCAAAGAACTTTTAATGAAAGTTGGTCAAGTTGAGAATATTCTGTTAAATTCACCAGCAGCTATACCCAATATTTGTAGCATATATCCACTTGTTAAATCCCATATAAAAGAAGCAGGACTTAATATGTGACATTTATACATATATGTGTGCGTATCTATGCACCCCCCCCCCACACACACACGTGTGTGTATATATTTATCCATTACCAGCTAATAACTATCAAAATCTGACTGTCACGTTTTCTATGTTATTTTTAGAAAGTGCTTACTTGTGAAAAGTGTCTTTGATCAAACACAATTTTTCTGTGTGGCAATATATAGCTCATAAATGTGTGCTTCTTTACTGACTCACTAGAGGAATTTTAATTTAGTCTTCCAAAGCAAAGACATGGGGAAGGGACACTGGGAGGAGAGTGTAAGCAATGAGAAAGGCATTTTGTAATATCAAGGTGTAAATAATGGAACAACCCCAATTTTCATAAATATTATGCTGATTTGCAATTTGATTATGGTTTCAAAACCCATGCACTTTTAACTATTGGACAGATCATTAATGTCATTTAAAATCATTTAAATTAATTCAAAAACAAAAACAAAAAATCAGTGTTTAAGAGGAGTGTAAAAGTTGAGAACAGTGATTCTGATTACACTCTGGGTGTCATTCTGCTTCTGCAGACTCACTACGCCTGTGATGTCAGATCACGGTTTCATCTATGACTCAGTTTCCTCATCTATGTAGGGGAGATGATAATATTACCACCTTTACTGAGTTACTGTAAGGATCAAAGTAGTTAAATCATGTAAAACACTGAGAATAGTGTCTAACAGATAATAACTGCTATCATTACTTTATAATAATTATTGAGAATTTACAAGTATTAGAAAGTAGACATTCTAATAGCAATATAAAAAACAGCAAGAGTAGCTGTATACAAAAACCAATGTGTTTCAGCTCACTTTAACCTGTAAGTTAATACATAGCATTTTATGTTAGGCAAAACAGGGATCTTCCTGGTACTTTGATTATAGAGATGAGGACATCTACACTTTCCTGTTTTATGTAAGTAAAGTAGCCATAAGTGCCAAACACATTTGCACATTTGCAGTATATGTACAGATATATTGCATATGGAGTGTCTGTTAATTTCAATAAAACTTTTTCTTTTTTAATGAATTGGAGTTCCATGAAAATAAAGAAGGCCATCCACTGCATGACTACAGGAGGAGACTGGGAGTTGCAGTCCATGTACCTGGTGGCCCTGCAGTGATGCTGCACTCAGTGCAGGACTGAGTGCACTGGGAAGGCCACCATTGCAACTAGAATTGTACTACACAGTGGGTCAGTGTACATATCCTTATCTTTACCAAGAGAAAAAAAAATAACTTGCCAAATCATGTTTTATTCTTATCAATTACTACTCTAAGAAAAATAAAAAAGATAATAGGTTAGACATGTTTTCATCAGATTTCCCAAATTTTAATGAAAGGTAAGAATTATATCTTCGGCTTCTAGTTCTTCCTTAGATGTTTCTAAAAATGTTTATATTGATATTTATATTTATATGTTTATATTGTTTTTATTACTTTATATATTCTTAAATTTTGTTCATATTCACGGAGTTAGGTCTAGAAGTCATGAGGCTTATAAAAGCAAATTCGCTTGAAGCTCAAAATGTTGATGACTGGCAGCTCATTCTGGTCCAGAGCTATTTTCTATCAACTCATTAACTGCCTGCATGGACACACATGTGATTCACAAGGCTGAAAGTGCAAAGGTAAAGTCCTTGAACACCTGAGTACAGAAAAGAAGTGGATTAAGCTGTCCTAAGCCTCTCTGAGAACAAAAGTTCTTTCAATGTCTGCTCTTATTCTGCCTTCACCGTTTACCCTTCAGAATGGAATCTAAGCTCTCTCTATTTAGCTGCCAGCCATGCTTCTGTAGCTACCAAAATGAGGATGGATCTATCTTATAATGTTTCAGTGTTTGAGTACCATTAATATATTCAGAAACAAAAAACGTTTTATTACTAAAGAACCCTTCATTCATGTCTAAATTGAAAGAAAAGATAGAGTATTAACTTGTTAGTTCTTTAGACAAAAGAATTGAAATCATGAAACATGTTGATAAATTATGTAAAAATATAATGGTTCATGTTATATCTTGTTATATAAATATCTCAATTATCAAATTAGAAGTTAAAAAAATCTTTATAGGTTTATAATAATTTTCTGAAAAAGCTACTTATTTAGTGTTAATTTAGTTTCAATTAAGTATAATTTCTGGCCAGGGTTTGAATAAACTGAAGACTTATTCAGATTATATGATATATCAAAACACAGACATATATGCATGTATCTGTGAAAGAAAAATAAAAAATAAAAAATAAATCAAAAAGATTTATCACTTTAAGAAATCTTTCATCAAGCATGATTCACTACATATCACCACACATGTGAAAAAGAAACCAAAATTTAAAAATTACTTTTAGCATTATAAAAACACATCAAACTCATTTTTCCTTATAGTATTGTTATTTTTTCTCTCTTTGCCAAAAATATATATTTTAATGCATAGTATGGCTTTCTCCATTCACTAAGGAATTTAAGTGAATTTGCTGACAAAGCTCAGTCAATGAACTAACTCATAAACTAAAAGAAACATTGCAACATACAATGAATTCATTTTTGGTGGAGAATAGGTAAATATTAGCATCTTTCCAAAACATGTCCTAACTGACATAAAAGAAATACAATATGCCATTTGAGATAATATCTCAAATGTTGCTTGAAACACTAAATGTGTTGCATGAAAAGAGTTAATCTCATCAAAATGATATAAGGCTTACCACAATTGTAATCATTACTTTTAATTATCCAAGAATTATAGAGTAAGTATACCACATGTCTGTCTGCCAAAGCAGCATATCATTATTTAATTTTTAAACAAGTGATCTTGAAAAAGAATCTAAAATTAGACAAGAGTTTGTAGACTATGAAAAGAAATTATTTTTACAGTGAGAAATAATTTTGTGTCTAAACCTGTAGTGTACCTTATGTAATAAGGCTCAGATAGAACATTCACACCTTATAATTTGATTATATAAAATAATAGCATTCAATTTCAGTATGTATTGTTACCATACATTCACTTGAGATTACAAAAGAACAGACAATTGCTTTAATAGCACGATTATGTTGATTATAATTCCAAAAATAGCACATTACTTGATCTGAGTAACTTGAGCAATAACATCAAGAGTAGAAGTTCAGTGGAAAAAAAACAGGCAGGAAGCAAATGAAGGCACAGGGTTATAGTTGGGGTGACAATAAGGACCAAGCAGACACAGAATTAGAGGAGGCATGGCTGGGAAATAGGGGAAAATGAGAGCGGGTTAACAAAGAATTTGTGGGTTCACCTGAAAATAACTGTCAGGTCTAACACTTTCTAAAGAGAAAAATGCATTAGCAATTTAAGTAAATACACACACACACACACACACACACACACACACACACACAACTCCAGTGTTGAAATTTGTTAAAATAATTTTAACAAGTTTTGTTAAAATAATCATACACAAAGACAAGCAACTAAACTCCTTTGGTTTTTATCAAGGGTTCTCTATTGTGTTGATTATTTTTCTAAAATTCTGTCACAGAAATTCTAATTTAACTCCTGTGCACCAAAACTATCATCTCTACTCTTCTGGACTCAGAGCCACACTCTACCCAGAAAAGACCCACATCCTTCTCTTCACCTCCATATTTTCTATCTTCTCCTACCAGACAACAACAAACTGTTCAGATCCCTTTCCAAGTGAAGGGCCCAAATAAGTCCTCCACACATTGCTCTTTTATTATCTCCTGACAAAGACCTTTCTCTAGTTGCTCTAGGAAATCAAACCTACCCATCATGAATCCTTCCAATGACCAAGACTGAAAACAAAGGCCAGCATTGTTTGGTGGGGATTTCTCAATTTCAATGTATAGTAAAAGTACCAAATACTTACTTACGATTCTGGTATTAGTCAAATTAGACATTAAAACAATTTAATTTTTTTCCAAATCCTCAATCTATTTGTATCTTAAAAAAGTGTGTCATAGTTTCTAAACAAGTGAATCAGGAGCTAACAGTTCTGCACTAGGGAAACAGAAATATGTATAGAATGTTTTGTGAAATGTTGTGAAGAGTGAAAATTAAGTGGAAATCTCCTCTATATAGTGACTAAACACAAGACTATCTGAAGGCCTATTAGGATGAGGGGTCCTTATTGCACAAAATGAAAGTTGGATATGATACCATTAAGGAAGCATTATAAAGATTAGGGGTCAGCAAGTCTCAAAGATCAAAATTTTATTCCCAATACTGATAACAAGTTTCTAATTATTGCAGAAAGTGTTCTGTTTATTCTTGATTTCATTTGCCATGGTATAGATCAAAGGTAATAGTTGCGCATTTCTTTAAAGTGTTGGAGGAGGTAATAGATTTTTTTTTCAAAATACTTTGAAGTTTAATTTTAAAGCCTTTATTGTGTGCTTTCCTACCTTGTTGACATAGAAATGCATTGTTTAACAACAGGCTATAAGCATTAGAAAGCAAAATCTAATTTCAGAATTATATGTTAAATTAGTTTGAGGTGTCAGAATTACATCTGAGTCCAGAGAGCTCATGTATTTAAGGTTTAAAAAGAAAAATGAATGTGCTATTTCTTGAAGGACACAGCGGGGCAAGTTCTTCAGACTAAACGACAAAAGACCTGGGTTCTGCTGCTATTCTGGACTTGACTCAGCCTTTGACATTCAGTTCCTTCATTTGAGAAAGTAGGAAGAAAAATATCTTCCCCATTGTGGAGGTTGATGTATGATCATCAACCTAAATAACAGAAATAGAATCACTTTGTGAGTATCAAGGGCTCTAAAAACACAAATGATGTTTTTCTCCACTGAAAAAAAATTAATTACTTCCTCTTTTGCTGTCCAGAAACAAAAAATGCTGCTTTATAATATTACAGAACTTACCCTGTGCCTGTGGAGAAGAGTACACAGTTTGTGACTGTGTAGCTATGTATAGAACAGAGTTCCTTTGACAAAGACCTCATGTCTTCTGAACCTGATAAAGCCCCTTTCATAGAAAAAAAAAGTGTCCAGGAAAGAGTTACTGTTTGCATAAATAGAATGATTAATGATTAAATCAATAAGATAAAAAATATTATTAAAGGGTAAAAAGCAGCCACTTGTTAAGAAATTTAGAGACTTTCCATTGAAAACCCTTATTTGATTTATCTCACTTGGGGAACTGTCATCAGTGAGGATTTAGTAAACAATCAACAACTAGCCCACTGAAAACTTCCCTTCCCACCCATAATAGGAGGCCTTATCTGAATCACTTCCCAATTTTCATGTGTAAATATTTCTATATGGCTTATGTGAAACTATCAACAGGACTCCATTTAACAGAGAGTAGCCTCTCTGCAGATTTGCAGAAAATACTCTTACTAGACATACAAAACAGTTCTATTATTCATTGTCCCTCCTTGAAGTGGCTTCAACCATAAACCCACCTTGACTTTATTTTCTTCCCTGGATTGAAAATGTGTTGATAAGATCAGGTGAGTAAAGCTAACTTTGGACCTAAATGGTGTATGAAATCTCAGAGAACTGGAGTTAAAATATGACAAATTTTAAAGAAAAGTTAGTAAGACAAATAATTTCATTAGTACTAGAGTTTGTGTAAAGTTTTTTGAGACTACTTAGTTTGGCTCAAAGACGAAAAAGGAAAGGAGTATGGATGTCATTACTTACTCGATTGTGTTTCTGTCCACTTTTCCCGTCATGTTAATGCCATAGAACTGCTGCATGGCAGCTAGGGCGGACTGCATGGTCTCTGCAGAGCGCAGCACCGACATTCTGGGGTCAGTTGGTGGGAGGTAGCCGTACTTTTGTAACCAAACCTGCAATAACAAGTACAGTTCCTTTTAGATCAACTTTACAATTTGACAATAATATTCTGGTTTTGATTTATGTCTGTAATAGACTGATAAACTTTATTTCATCTATAAGAAGATACTTTATTTGTTTGATTTCTACCTAAATAATTTTAATATATATTTAGTAGTTGTGGCTCTTTCTAACATACCTACAAATTCCAAATGAAAACAAATTAACCATTTCTTGAAAACTTATAGCATATAAAGTAGTACAGTAAACAACAGGAGAAAAATAAGATCATCCCTGCATTCCAGGGCCTTAACATGCCAAAATCAAGAATGTACTTTTTCAATAATGTACATATATTTGCTGGAAGGGGCAGCTAATGTGTATATATAACATCTAAAAAACTGTTTGCCTAAACTATTGACCAGTGGCTACAGTTGTGATAAGTAGCATCTTTACCTATAAACCATGTTATTCCATCATAAAACTTTGCATGTAAGTTTATTGTAGCTAGGTCTATACAATTATAGCTAGGTACCTCCAAGGGTAGAAAACTTTTTCAAGGAAACATTATTTCTTTCTTTCCTTCCTTCCTTCCTTCCTTCCTCCCTCCCTCCCTCCCTCCCTCCCTTCCTTCCTTCCTTCCTTCCTTTCTTCCTTCCTAGTGATTCACTTCAGTCAAAATCACATAAACAGCCAAACTTTGCACATATTTCTCAAATCCAACTGTCTCCTTGTGTATGTATAGACCTCTCTAAGGGTCTCTTGATTTGCATCTCCCCTTTCCCTAGTGAGGAGATCTGGGAGGATGGTGAGATAAAGAAATCAGAGTAGATTTCATATCCTACTAATGACTGGGGTAGGAATTCAAAGTTACTAAAAATTAGATTTTAAAAGTAATAGAAAACTCAGGACATTTTCTGAAAGAAATAAACGTCCACCTAAGAGCAGATAACTCTATGCATTCCTTTTAAATGCTCAACTCACACCCCAACCTACTGTCTTTTCCCTCAGTCTTCTTGCAGGCCCTACGATTTACTGAAGTGCCACAAACTACCTGTCAAATTGATAAGAACCAAGTAGTTACAATACTACTTAGTGTAAGATATTCACCTGTGTGTTTCTCTCCCTTCCAAGGTCTATTTGTCACATAAAAATGATCCTATGGAATTTCAGCTTTTCTCTGAAAACTGATATTCTTCCTTTATAAAGTTATAACCACAACACAGGAACAGTTATTTTCCCAGTGAAAATAAATAACAAAGAAACTAAATTTCATTGTAAGAGCCAGTATTAAATATATCAAAATTTCAAAATGTATAACACAAAATATCTAAAAATGCAGTATCAAGAATTAACCCCTTGAAAATAAATACATCCTAAAAGTATTTAAGAGATATCAAGAAAGTTTACCAGTGAAACACAATATAGTAAAGTCATCTCCCACACAGAAAAAGCAGGCTAAGGTAGTCATTTCTCCTCTGGAATGAACAGGCTGCCAGGGAAAACAGTATGTTGTTACCTAGTTAATACTGGTACAGTCTCAAACAGATTCCATTATATTTCTGAATGAAGGAGGCAGGTAGTAATATTGTTTATGAAATTTAATACCTATAGTCATATAATTTCTCAAAATTGAAAGATTTTAATAATATGCATGTGTCAATATTCTTAAACAATAATTTTTTCCATAACAGTTTGCATTCATTTCTTACTTGTGGGAGAGCTGACTTGTTGCTAGGTTACTGCTGGGTGCTAAGCTACTGGCAATTATGTTTATGAGGACAGTAAAGAGAAAACCATTAATAATAAACCCTTTGATTTATATACACAGAAAATATAAAAATACATAATTGTTAAGTATATTATGAAAAAATAACATGTTCTAGAAAATACATATTTGATTTATTCCTTAGCCTTCCAAACAAATGATTTCAAATAATATAAAAAAATGAATTTTTATTTTTTCAAGTTCTTTTCACATTATGTTGTTTATCATGAGAGACTGTTTTTCAAAATGAATGAGAAGTGGGCAGTTCTTTTTAATTGTAAAATAACAGGAAAGCTATAAGATGTACAGTTTTTATGGTTAAAAGTTTGTTTACTGGCTAACAACCAATGTCATAATTTTGTCATCATAATTTTGTCATGATGATAAAAGGAAAATTTCTACTAAAAATTTGTACTTTAGAAGAAAATTTCTATTAAAGTACAAATATAATCTTATTTGAAAAAAAATTTACAATGAAGTATTTGTTTACCTTACCTCTTCTAATTTTCTACTATCCAGGGATAATAATTTGGCATGTAATCTTTCTATCATTTTCTATTCAGAGAAATTTAAAGATATACATATGAGTATGTATTATATGTACACATATGCATATATATATAATATATATAATATATTTTACTATAGACATCCATTCTTATTTGAAATATATCATGGTTTTCAACATTATTTAAGTACTGCCACTCATAGATGATTAGAAATGCTAAATCTGTTTTTTTTTTTTTTGCTTTGTTTTATTGGGCTCACTGATGACAAGTGCATTTAAGAGCACAGAAAAATTATTAAGGGACAAACAAATTTCTTTAAGGAAAACCTTGACTTAAGGTACTACCTGCGACTTACTCCATCCCATTGCCACCAGTACAAATAACCTTGGTACCTCAAAAGGAGCTACAAAATCTTACCCTGAATTACTGCCTGTGTCACTAACTCCTTCAAATGTCTTGCTACCTTGTGGACAAAACCAATTTCCTGCTCTTAGTGGTTATTCAATTGAAGGAACAAACAGAATACTGCTGTTCTCAGCAGAGCAAAAAGATATATCAAGCAATAAAAGGTAAAGAGTTAAATATTAAACGCCATGCCAGTAGATATTGCCATTACTGAACTGAAGTGTTAGGGAGTAGCAGACACACAAAATTTCAGCAAAGTCCACTAAAAAAAATCTTTGTCAATAATATTTCATGTACCATACTGCAAAAACCCACATGAATTGTCTCAGTCATTTACAAATATATATCAATTTTAGCATCCTGAAAAATAGTTATAAAAAAGCAGATGTTAGTAGTTCATATAATTAAGGGTACATGAAAGTACTTTGTTAAATTTTATTGAAAAAATTTCTTTAGTGTTTGAAGATAATCAGTTTGCCAATGCCTTCATATAAAGCTACCGTATTCATTTAGTGAGATAAATCACATGTTCGAGAACAATTTAAAAATTTTCCTCTGACATGATAAATATAGAGAGAACACATTTTATAATGATGACTCTGAATAATTGCAAAGTGCTCCGACATCCTTCAAAATAAAATAAATAAGCATATGTGATTTAATTACTAAATTTATTAGGGTTGGAAAGGATGCATTTTAGCAATTATAGAAATCACTGGAGGGAAATAGAAGGAGAGATGGTTTGGAAATTTTATTTAACCTAAGTTAAACATGTAAATATGTTAAATATGTAAGTCCACAATGCCCATTTGAGGCTCAGCCCGTTATTTCATGTTGGGTTGGTGAAATTCATTTCCAGCTAAGATGTGCTGTGGCAAGTTCCTTGTACCCAGTTCTTATCATCTCAAGTATGATGCTCTCTATTGAAAGAAAGGTCAGTGATGATAATGTTTGTAGTACTTATTTAATACTATATTATTTCTGTTTACATGATCACATAAACATTTTTATTATTTTGGATTTTTTTAAGAATTACTGACTTCATATCAAACTAATAGTGATAAAATATTGAAATCTATAATGATTAATATTTTGATATAATTAACTGATTTTCTTGAAATACAACTGAAAGAATGTGTTTTAATAGCTAAGTTCTTGATGTTATAAAAGGTTAATTTCCTTTTACACAAATTTGTTAAATTCTATTATAAACTAAGACTAATACTAAAAATGGATTACTACTCATCAGCAAAGTCAGCAAAAGCTTCAGGATTTTTTCCCCTGAAATAAGATTTATTCACTGGTTATAAATAACAGCAGGATTTAGGGTCTACATTTTCTAGTCTGTAAAGAGACTATAAATATGAATTATAACCACCTACTAACCAAAAAATTAAACTGATGTAGAAGGAGTCATTTAGAATTGGTCAAATTGAAAATTCATAGAATAAGTTAACGAGGCAGAAATTAGCCTTTCTCTTCATTCAAATATCTAAATGGGCTCTAAATCACCATCCCATCCCCACCATGAATGAATCAGTGTATAAAATTGCATATATAGAATTCAATTCATTTGGAAATTTTACTGTCTATTAAATGGCTTCTTAAACTGGAAATAAAACAGTAGAAAGATCAAAAGCTATTCCATCAACCGTCTCATCAATCAAGAGGCAACTGTTATTTGGTCAAGGAGACAGGAAACCAGCTGCCTTATTCATAAGTATAAGTCATTATGACCATCATGACCATACATTTTTTCTTCATTTTCCCCTCTCAACTTGAAAAACTTTCATTTATGAAAGAAATGAAACACTTAGATTGTAAAGGGAAGGGAGAGTTTCTCCACTCTGCATAAAAGTAATTTTTTTTTTTTACTTTGTATTTAGCAAATGTGGGAGCAAAATCCATTACACAGTAATGGATGACATCCAGTGAATCCAGTGATTAAAACCAGTACGACTTTTCATTGGGATTCCATCATGTGTTGGTCTTTATTCTGGAAAGATACAGAGGACTATAAGACTGCCTCCTTCTCTCTCTTTACTGGTTTCTCTTTGGTGTGTTTAGATTTTCTAAGTATGTTTACATGCTCATGTATACAAAATATGATCAAAAAAGAAATTGAACATATCACAACAAATAGAAAATAACTGCAGACTACACATATGATACCACAATCTTCATGATGTTTACATAGAAATAAATAATTACCAAAAATTACTCATAATAATCATTGTCTTGATTTTACATTATATTATGATCACCTCATAAACACAAAATACTAAAGTCTCCTTCAAATCTGGGGACTGAAACCAGGATATAGCTCAACCAC